TGACTCGTCCGGATTCGACGAAAGTGAGAATAAACCGGCGAGGATAATGGGAAGACGAGTAGAGGAAAAACCGCGTGGAGGATTGCGGAGGCGGTGGTGGAAACGAGGAAAAAACACCCTTCGACGAATGTATCACCGGGAACGGCCGTGCCCTTTCGATAGATCGAGTTTTTTACGCGATAGAGACCGGCTTCTATCCCACTCTTTTCGTTCAACAACGAGGAAGAATTTTTACGACCCTTCTCCACCCTCCTCGTGGGATCATAAACTTGATACGAGATCATTCCATTCTTTCATTTTTCGTTTTCGACTCAAACTTTCGAAAAAGTTTGGATTAAGAAATTAAGAAGGATTCGATCTAATTTATTATTCGATTTTCGTGGAAAAGTCGAAGATGGAGATGGAGGGTGGTATTTAGATCAAGTCAGTAACTGCGAAAATTAAATTGAAAACGTGCTAATCAATTTCTTTTCCAAATCATGAAATGTATAATGTATATATATATATATATATCGTAAATGTATATATTCGATATTCGTTTCGTGGAAAAGTTGTTAAAAATCGAAGATGGAGATGGAGGGTGGTATTTAGATGAAGTCAGTAACTGCGAAAATTAAATTGAAATCGTGCTATTCAATTTCTTTTCCAACTCATGAAATGTATATAACATATCCATTAAATTCTTTTTCTCGATTTTTGAAGATAATTCGATTTCCTTCTTATCGATCGAGCAATTTCTTCTCTCAAGTATTTGTATTTTTCTTTTCCATCTTTTTTTTTTTTTTTTTTCTATTCAATTTCTAATTTCTTTGGAAAAAGTTTTTTTTATTTAGAATGAAAGCTAAAAAAAGAATTCGTAGAAACGAATATAACGCAAGAACACGATACATACATAGTGTCGATTGAAAAACAGTCACGCAATAAACATTATAACTTCGTGTCGGTATCGGGGCCGAAGTATGAGGAAGTCGTACGCACAATCGTTTTTCAATCCTTTTGTATACATATATAATGAAGTCCAACGATGGTTACGCAAGACATTGTACAATAATGAAGCAATTTACTTCCGTCAAAACGTGACATTATTTATAAATTCGTCTCGTCAACGTGTTTTGGATTTCACTGGAAAAAGTTGCCGATCTTTTAATAACAATTTGCACACCGAGCAACAACCGGCTGATCGTCAACATTCTAATGAATCGGAACAATGGACATACAAATGGATTGGATGAAAATTCGTTTTAACGAAATGCAATATTTTATTTATTTTTTTTTTTTTTATTTAAAAATAAGGGAAGATTATCAAGAAAACATTGTAAATCTTGAAATGCTTCAAATGCGTATTCATAACAGATTTTTGACGAATTTATTTTTATTCTTTGTTAAAATTGGAAATTTTGTAATAGACAAAAGGACCAAAGAATTAAAAAGAAAGAAATAAATCATAGTGAAATATTAATTTTAAAGGGAAATTAATTTCTTTCTAAAACTACTTTCTTTTTTAATCATCTTTTCCCAAATCCTTAAGTAACATTATTTTCCAAAATATATTCGAATCGCATGTATATTATTCTCAACGAATCTCTTCAAACTCTTCTAAGAATACAAACTATTAATTAGTAGTAAAGAAAAAAAAAATAAATAAATAAAAAAATGGAAAAATAAATGAAATAAAAATTATAAAATGTGGAAAAAAAGAAGAGAAATAATAAGAAATACAAATACAGAAATATAAGTACTAACATTGTACGCTTTCGAATCCGCTATCGGGCCCATGATATCCGCGTTTCCGTTCACGTGGTAGCGGTAAAGCGGTTTTACGATGGTCCACGTTGTTTTTACGCGGGTTTCACCGATAATCCGGCTATCTCGATTCAAAGACAGCATAACCGCTACCATTTCCGACCAATCGTCGCGCTGGGCGAAAATTATTGCCGATACGGTGGGATTGTTTTGTCATTGATAACACGATACGTGATAAATTTCATGGAGAACTTGACATGCTATTTCGACGATCGTCGCCTATCAAAGTTCACTCCGTCAATTAAAACTACTACTCCTTTCGATCGTCCCTCACCTTGCCTTCTCTTATCTCCCCCCATTGTTCTTTTTTCTTCGCCGATTTTAAAATTTATCATCGAGATAACGATCGATGTTGGAGCAAGTTTTTACATGGAATTTTTATCGATTTTTAGAGATAATCGAGGAATTGAGTAGTTCGAGTTGTTGAGAGATTCGAATTGAACTTGAGGAGATTTTGAGGAGTGAAGATTTCGACGAGGAAATTAGAAATTGAAATATATTTTCTTTTAAATATTTTTTTAATATATTTCACTTGACATACCTTGTTGATTGATCGATATGGCAGTTTGCTAAAATTTTAAAGTCTCTAAAGGACGATAATTTTTTATCTTTAGATTTATTCTACTTATTCTAATTAAAATTCTTCGTTGGTATCTTTAATTCTATTAGAATATAGAGATTTCTCTAGAATATTGATCAATTGTAATATCAATACGATACAAATTGAATTTATTGAAAACAAATATATACAACTTTCGAAATTTCTAATTAATCATTTGATAACAATGCAATTATAAAATCAATAATAAAATCTTGACGTGCAAAACCAAAAAACCAAATTGCACGCAAATCAAAGCAGTAAAATTTTTTTTCTCTTACCAATCCCTCATTTTTAAAAATTCATCTCAATCAACTCTCCAGAATTATTTTCCTCCTTTACTTCACATCTAAATTTTCTCTAAAAGAGACCCTCTTTCGATTCAATTTCACGATGATAAAATCTGCCACTGCTATCCCATTTTCAATTTTGCAACAGGATAGAAATCGTGAAATTTTTCCCCTTCCAATTTTGTATCGTCGAAAACATTCGATTCGAATTTCCAACGTGGATAAACGAATTGGAATTCCAAACAGTGGAACCTATCACCCGCCTCTTTTTAAACAATACCATACACGTTGCAAATTTGTTGTACGTTCAAGCGCACAAACATTCATCCTATTACCTATTAATTTTCAAACGGATAAATATCGGCCGAAAGGACGAAGGAGAGAAACGTTCGATCACCCACATCGTTTCGATCCGTTTCGATCTTCGTTCTTCGATCTGTCTTTGGATAGATATCGAAGAAGACAAGGCCCGAAGAGAGGAAATTCCCAAACGGTTACCGCGCAAAGTTTCCCCCGTGGGCTATTGATTTAAGGGAATAGCGAATCCATGACCGCTGACACACGCTTCGCCTCTCTCAATTTCAATAAGCAATTGCGAGAACAATCGGTCACGATCCCAACTCGAAACTAGACCGAACTAGACGGCGCAGCCTAGCCTCGAATTCTTTCACCTCTCCCTTACCCCTCTTATTTTTATTCTGTTCTCTTCTTTCTTTCTTTCTTTCTTTCTTTCTTTCGGCCGACTCTTGTGCCTCGTTAACAATGCAGAACAGTTATTTATGCAATTTGGAAATATTGTAACGAACGGCTGGATCACGTTGTTGTTTTCTTTAAATACGAGAACTCTCTCGGTTGGTGGGGAGAGACAGATAAAGGGGGGTTATTAAAGGAATGGAATGATCTTTGGATTAATTCTATTTATGGAATTATGGGGAGAGAAATTCGTTGAGGTTTTGTTGATCTGATCTGTATTTGTTGTCGATTTTAGGTTTAGAATTTGAATGAAAATTTTAAAAAGGGAATAATATTTGAGATTTAAAAATTGGAAATTTGAGAGGATTTTGAAGAATCGTATGCAGAGCAAGATTCTTGAATTTGTTTAATTCGTTGAGGTTTTGTTGATCTGATCTGTATTTGTTGTCGATTTTAAGCTTAGAATGTGAATGAAAATTTTAAAAAGGGAATAATATTTGAGATTTAAAAATTGGAAATTTGAGAGGATTTTTAAGAATCGTATGCAGAGCAAGATTCTTGAATTTGTTTAATTTCTTTGTAGATATTGAATTGTTGAAAATTGGAGTATTTTAAGAAGCGAATAATAAGAAGATCGTGAAAATATGATTTAAAATATTTAGTAATACGAATTTATGAATAAATGATCCTTTTTAGGGATTGATAATATAAAATGTTAAAGATTGAAGAATTTTAATGGGCGAGTCATGAATTGGAACAGATAATGGAAGTGATTCATGTGACTCTTGTAATACAATGAGGCCTCTTTGTTTGAGAGTGGAATACGTATGATGAAGCTCTTTCTTCTTAAAAAAGCCGCGGTGTTTTTGATCTTTTTCAACACTGCATCATTCAAATCATAAGGAAGACTACATCAACGTAATTATAAGCATATAGGTCAAGAATTCACTTGGCCATCTTCTTGTGCTAATTATAACTATTCTGTATCGATTATTCTGAATCTTTTCTTTTTAAAAGTGCGACTTTTCTACAAACCACAACATTTTCATGGTTTCGCACAATGCAAAATTAAATAATTTTTAAATTACGAGATACCAAAGATCCACTTGTTCATAAGAATAAAATTAAACACTCCAAACTGATGTAAATCTTCCATAAGATCTTTAAAAACCTCTATTCTACACAATACGTTGATTCCTGACCAAATTTCTATTATTCACTGTCACAACAGTTGAAAATTAATTTTCCAAATTTATTCCTATATTGAAATTTAATTTCCTCCTACACAAAAAGAAAAGAATCGTCATTTCTCTTCTTCTTCTTCTTCTTCTCGCATAAAGAAATCCATGCTTCTATTTCATTCACATCAAATCATTATAATACCTTCTCTTAAAATTGAATCCAAAATTTCCAATTTACATTTATATTCCATCCGTATAACGAACGTAAATCTAATCTCTTTCCTCTAAAAAGGAACATCTCTGCACACAGAGATAAAGCCCACACAGATTTTTCGTGTCTCTCCGCTTCGTCCTCAAAAGAATCACAAACATAAAAGACGTTAAAAGAAAAAGAAGAAAGAGAGAAAAGAAAAGGGAAGATAATACGCAATTTACCTCCGTCTTTTCGACTGTTGCGCGTCTCCTGCATGGGTCTGCTGCATGTGATGGGGCGATAAGTTGGTCCCGTAAGTGAGCAGCTGATTTCCGGCGCTTGGGCAGGCCGGTGGGGGCGGCGGGGGTGGCAGTTGGTAGCCGACGGACGTGGCGGAGGGTATGTAATGCGACGGGCCCGCTCCTGGGCCCAAACCCACTCCATACCCACCGCTACCCGTGCCACCCCCGTACATACCGCTACCACCCGGATACTCTATTTTGTCGGCTATTTTGCCACTTTGATCAGGGGGTGAAAATTATATATAACTATATAAACGGCAGAGTTTCAGTTCATGTAACTCGTGGTGGAGTTCAAGCGTTCATCTTGGAGATGAAATCGGAGAATGATGAAATATTTATTATCGTTCTTACACTTCTGTTGTTACAATGTGTCCCTTGAAAATTTCAACAAGAGAGAAACAAGTAAGTTGATCGGTTGTTTTATTCCTATTATTGGGTTACTGCTTTGAGATTTTGTTGAATCTACAACACATTCTTTCTCTCTCTTCCTCTCCGTTTAGTTGTTGATATTCTGAAATAATTCGTACGGTTAAAGAATGAAATTGTTCGTGTCTGGAGTGTTCATTAAAATCTGTTCATCTTCTCTTTTTTTTTTTTTTTCTTATTTACGATTTGATATAATGAGCATACACTAAGGTAAGAATTAAATTATTCATTATTCCCAAATCGGTTCATCATCCTGTTACCTCTAATCTTAAAAAGAGATTCTACGTGGTTAAGTTTAAAATAAACTTTTCTCCATTCCCCTGGTTATCGCGAAATCTCGAACCACGGAAGATGGCTCGTAGATTGCACAGCAAGTGTCCTCGGGGATTACCTAGATCTCCTTGGTTCTACCATTTTTTTCTAAACCGATATCAACTACTGCTGCACATCCTTCTTCTCTCATCTCGAACGAATTTTTCACATTTCCTTTACCACGATTCTTTCAAATTTCTTTCCATCCAATATCATCGCGCGAACAACTCTTGATATCTGTTACAGAGGGAATTTCTTATTTATATCAAGTTTCCATGATTTTATTCCACGCATCAAATTCGATAACTAAATATTGGATTCGAAGATCGTGATAGGATTACGGGGGGATCGTCCATTCACGTTCCGCCGAGTTATCAAGCGTCATCCGATTCCTGAAGAGATCTACGTTCAAAAGGTCTTCGATACTTTACACCGTGAAGCAATGGAATCTTTTCGCTAGATGTCCCAGCCTTGTTATTCTCTGTATATCTCCAGAGATCTAACGGAATCAAGAATTGACTACAACTCGTTCACCTTTGTTCCAATCATGCTGAACCACGAAAACTTCGAGTTTCTTGAATTCTTGGTTGGTTTTCTCGACATTTTCTCTTCGATCACTTTAAATTTTGTACATGATAAACAATCGGTTTTGCGATAAAATTTGAGTTCTCTCAAAGTTTGGTCAATGCTATTCTTATCTCCGATAAGAATTTCCCCCTTTCCTTGCTTAATAGTTTTTTAATTATATTTGTATCGATCAAACAATCTGAAATTTTCACTCTCAACAAATATTTTAACGATAAATAGTTCTATGAAAATTTTGGTCCTCCACGTATTTTATTTTATTATGGAAAGTTGAAGAAGAAGTTGAAGATTTCATCAATTTGATCAAAACTTAATTTCCAACGTGATCAAATCGTGATCGATATCGGCAATTCTGATACCGTTTTGAAAATCGCACACACGATGCAACATTATCATGGATTAGCCCAATTACTCTGTGAATGACATTGTTATAAACAGAGTTTCGTCGAAGATGAAACTTCTCGTTCTTGGCTCCATCAGAGAAGATCATTGATCGATTTCTTCCCTCCTTCTCGAATCCAGTTGGAAGAAAAAATCGAACCGAAGAATTAACACCCGACTTCTCACAAGAACTTCAGTTCCATTAAAGATGAATAACAAAGTCTTCTTGCTTAAAAATAAATTTATTCTTCCTTCAAAGAATAGCCTCAACTCGCCACTTACCACTCGCGTGTAAGATATAAATTTGAGTCTCGTTCAAGTGTTCCATCAACTCCATCGGAGACGAGCAAAATATAAATCTTATTACAAAGTTTATTTCTAATATCGATTCGTAGAACCTGCTCAAAGATCCAAAAAAAAAAAAAAAAAAAAAAAATTACACAAAATATTACTATCCGAAATATATTTACTCGTGTATATATATAAAATAAAATACTTTTCTTCCAAATAATCTCTCTTTAAAATCGTTTCTCACTTGATCGATCACGATTAAAATCCTATCACCGACGAAACTTCACCATCACACTTTTTTCTTTCACGACCGATAAAATTTCCATCCATGGCTCGAGAGACCGATAATTATCCGTGGATCCCCGCTACCCATGGGTAGAACGAGATTCGGATCAACGGAGTTTTCGAGGCGGAGGATACGCCACGGCACGTGCGCGATCGTGCACCGCGGCGGTTCTCCAAACAAGAGAGACAGAGATAGATATATATATATATATATGTATAGAGAGAGAGAGAGAGGATGGAGGAACGGATCGATGGCTTCGATCGCGATTTACGGTATTTCGGCCACGTGAAACGAGAAACGAAGAGGAAACGGTATAACGTTACGCGGAAACACGTAGACGGACGGATGGGTCGACGACTAGTCACCACCCACAACTCGCCAGTGACTGATTCCACCATAGCCGCATAATGTGCCGCTGTGCTATACCCCGGTAAGGACTATCACTTCTCCCACCAGAGAGCCCACGGAACACAGCCACTGTGTAAAGCATGACTTTTAACCGGGATGCATTCGTCCTCGTTCAACACGTTACACTGCTCGTGAGGAGGACAGGAACAGGATCGGGATTACACTGCTCGGTGACGGTGGAGGATCAACAGGAGGAATCCGATTCGTGGCCGAAGATCGAATGGATTTCGTGGATTTTGTGAGAAGAGTGTATTAAGGGAATTGCGATTTTTTCTATAAAGAGATTTTAGATTATCTCTCTCTCTTTCTTATTTTTTACGAGAGGATCTATAATTCTTGTCAATTTGATTTTTTTATTTTGTGAGAGAAAGTAGATCTTATGATTCTTTCTTTAAATTCCTTTCTTTTGAAAGGGACACAATTTTCTTTTTTCTCAGAGGTTTGGAATAGAATTTTTGTTTTATCGAATTTTTTATTTTATAAAATGAAGATTTTTTTTTTCTTTTCTACGCACTTTTCTTCTAAGCAGAAGTTTCTTTGATGTTTGTGATTCTTTAAATTCTTTTTCTTTCTAAAATATGTAAAATTTTTATACATTCTTCGTTTTCGCGGAAAATTGAGGATTTTTGAATAATTTTTTATAGAATTTATTGCACAAAGTAATTTTTAACAAATCAGGGATGTGTACAATCTTTTAATTTGAGATTTTTCATTAAATTTTCATATAAACTTTTGTTCGAAACTCTTTGATACAAAAGTTTCTTTTATATCAATTTATTATATTAAATTATTATACTATCTTATGTTAAATTTTGATAAATATTGATATCGAATTTATTTAAAAAAAAAATAGTATCATAAAATTTAATTAAAAAAGCATTGCTTTTATTAATAAATGAAAAAATTAAATGAAATTTAATTTCCTTCTCCAATCTGAAAGAAACGATAACAACATGTTAATCGAAAATTTACTTTGTCTATTGTGTTACCTATTAGACAGATGAAACGACTTATTAGATTAAAATGAGACAAACTAATGAGAGCCATCGAAGGAAGTAAGTTATTATATCGAATCGTTGGTGTAGTTATCGTTTCAAATAATGTATATTTTATGTAATAGACATTTATATAATATGTGTATTATTCTTTATATGATGATTTAAGCAGTATTATATTTTTATTTTCTTTATATAATACTTCCTTTTATCAAGAAACATAACATACTTAATATAAATATAAATAAATCACAATATGAAATTCTTTTTATTAAAACATTTATCATTTGTAACGATTTTTTAAGTTCCTTTCGTGCAAAAGATTTTTAATATAATAAAATTACTCTCACTCAAAGATTTTATAATAAATATCACAAGAATTAAAAATGCTAAATGTCTATTAAAGAAATGTTTAAAAGAAGAATTATAAGACCATTAAAATTTCTAAGGATTCCAGAAAAAAGAAATTTAAGATTGTTATTATAATAATACTTGTTTTAAATAACTATAATATTATTAATACGTTATACTATAATAATAAATATAATTCTAAATATTATTATTATTATTATTATTAATAAAATTCTATTATATTACATCGTACCCCTTTTATCTTTAAATATTTTCTATATACTTCGATCAAGAACAAACTTATCTCTTAATCGTTTATAGGCGATTAACGTGCAAATTCTATTTCAAGGAGCCATCCACCAAGATATCGTATAACATTCAAGAATCGTACAACGTACATTTACAAGGTAAAAGTATGCACGCTTACGATAACAAAATGTTTCTGACGCGATGTCGCAATCGCTGGTGTAAAGGAATATTAGCGGACATCGACAACTCAGAAGTCACCTACCATTGTTAGACATCGTAATCTGGCTCATTGTCACCACTATATCGTTTCTTGGAATCGTGTTAATCGAGAACTTAAAACTTAAAACTTGTCTGGTTTATAATATACGATTAGTAAAATATTATATACGTCGTTATACATATATATTATGGTATCCATAACAAAATTTCACTGCAAAATATTTTTTATTTATTTTTTTTTATTTGTCTTTACTATTTGAGTAAAAAAAGAGCAAAAAAATTTGATTAATAATATTTGATTAATTGAATAATATATAAAAATATTTGAAAAATTATTTTAAAAGTTTTTATATAGTTAAATTTAGAAAAAAACTTAATGCTATTAAATGAATTAAGTATAAAGGATAACATGAACGTTTGAATGGCAAATTTGATTATATTTATATTTAAAAATGAAAATCTTGAATTAAAATTTAGAAAATTTGATTAATTTAAAAAAAATATATAAAATAATTTAAATAATTTAATAGTTTAATAACATTTAATTGTTGTAATGATAATAAATAAAAAAACAATAATTTTAAAACTTACCCAACATGTGACATGCTTGCACCACGCTTCTGCGTCATCTTGCTCGGGTCACTCCCTGAAAAAATTATAAATAGTAAAGATCAGGTTATAGAATTTAATATTTATAAAAACTTCTAATACTCGTTATTATCAAACATAATAAATTGAATATAATAAATATGATAATTCCATTGCTATATGAATATATTGAAAACATATTTACATATTCATTATAAATATTATTAAACATGTTTGTTATTTTCTGTTTTGACACACTCTATCATTAAAATGAATTATAGTTATCATATTCATATAATATCTATAAATTTCAATATTATATTCAACATGAATTAAAAGAATTGTAAAAACTTTCATTTCTTTTTAATTATATTTATTTTTTACACTAAAACTGTACATGTAACTTTATACATACTCTACTAAATCAAAATCATTACTTAAACATAGAATCAAGGAAATAGGAGTTCATGCTACATTAAAGCAATGAATTTATATGTTAAATACGATAAGTCACATAGAAAATAATTTACATTTTATGATAGAAAAGCGTCCTACTTAAGGAAAGATACAATGTTCTAAAATTTGTTCGAAAATCATTTGTTTAAAATTTTCTAAAATCTTTCAAACTTGAAAACTTGTTTTTGTTCACAAAAGAAAATAAATTTTTTAAAAATTTTTAGTAAAATAGCACATATACATTAAATTGATTAAAATGAGAAAATACTTTCAATGTCAAACAACTTCGATACATACCTGGTATGGAATGGGCGATCGTGGATACAGTAAACATTCGGTTAAGAAATGTCGTTTGAGAACAATAATTGAGTCTATTAATACTTATCGACACTAAGTGAGTAAATTGAAACGGTAATTAATTGGAAAATATCTTTTTAAACGTTAATTACCGAAATGTTGTACAATTAAAGTGGTCTTAGTGGCGCCACCTACGAGCATTTTTATTGCATCATCGAATATGTTGTTGAAACATAGTATCGAAAGTCGGTTTTAAAATCTATGACGGATATTACCAACTGTTTTTTACGCGACAATTTAATAAAACGAAACAAAATGTAATCAGAAGATTATAATTGAATATAGTTATACGTATATTAGATTCATAGAATAATTTTTTTTAAATTTATTTAAATATTTTATAAATAATAATTATAATATAAAATTTAATAAAAATAAATAAATTATTTTGTATATGAAATATATTTGTTAATTAATAATTATGAAAATTGTACATGTTAAAATATTATTATTAAATAACGATTTTTATTAAGCATTATGATAAAAAGTTTATTATAATAAATATTGATATTTAGAAATATTATTATATATAAATATTTAATAATATCTACCATCAATTGCATCGCTCTCATGCGAACGGTTTAGTGTAATTCGAAATAAGACGCCGTAGCGCCGGTATACCTGTATCTAGCCTGTATCTACTACGCAACTTCCGCTAACTCGCTGCTGAGCAAAATGGACGCCTTTGTGTCTGTTTTCCTCGTATTCATACTATAAATACTGTTTTCCCCGCGATGCACCACCTTTGACATGGCGATGTTTACACGGTACCGTGAAAAATGTAAGTGAAAATCGTGCTGTGCCGCAAATCAAAGTGCATTCCTCGGTGATCGACGAGAAAACGCATCCAACCAAATAGGCCAGAACACGGATGACAATTGAGTGAATATCTTTCACGACGAAAACTTTTTCGAACAAACTCGCACGAACGGGGTCGCTATTTTGGTAGACGTGTAAATATCGACGGTTTATACGCGTCGAACGACACGGGGATCTTGGATATCGATACACCTCCCGCCAAAATTCCATTCACTGCTTGCATTCTGCAGTATAAATAATCGTTGTACATAACTAGGTAAGGCAATTGACACAAAACCTTAACCGAACTTTGTTTTCGTTTATTAAATGACATACAATCATCGCAGTTATCATCATTGACT